GAGACAGCCGTGCCACTGGGGAAGGGTGCCGTGCCACTGGGGAAGGGTGCCGTGCCACTGGGGAAGGGTGCCGTGCCACTAGGGAAGGGTGTCGTGCCACTGGGGAAGGGCGCGGTGCCACTAGGGAAGGGTGCCGTGCCACTAGGGAAGTGATTGAAAAACAGAAAGTGGCCAGTCAGAGGAAGAAGATAAGTAAAGGATGTGAAGTGCCCAGGTTGTTGGTGTGTATAGTAAATGTAATCCCTTAGACTAATAGACCGCTTTGTCTTTGTTTTGGCTTTACCCCGCAAAATATCACTCATATCCGATGCAATTTTCATGACTAGTTAGGCTTAGACTAATGGACCGCTTTGTCTTTGCAGATTACGGTTACATGTTCCTCAAGCAGACCATCAGCGACACTAGCATGTACAACACGACCTGCGTGGCGAACCAACTAGCTAGTGTTACCTCCCTCACTGGGTGGAAGCCTGCGAACTGGTGCGCCTAGGACGGCCATCAGACGCTACCTTTAACACCAATAATTTCGAATGGATGAATTGTTATTTCCGTCCATTCACGTGTTAATATAACGACGTGAACATTTGTTGTTATTGGGGTTATTGGCCACGTGCTGGCTACCGATGACGGTGCGCCTAGGGCGGCCATCAGACGCTACCTTAACACCAATAATTTCGAGTGGATGAATTGTTATTTCCGTCCATTCACGTGTTATTATAACGACGTGAACATTTGTTGTTGTTGGAGTTAATGGCATTGTGCTTGCCACCGATTAAATGGTATTATGGTTACCAGTGAGTGAAAAACTATAAAAGGATCAGGATTGATCAATCACCGGCAGTTCTTCAGTCAACCTCTAACCGCATTTAAGTTCCTGTCTTGGCAGAATTTCCGTGGACTTTTAGGACAGATATTGTTGGTAGGACTTTCGATTTTTCTTTCACATTACTTATTCCAGCAATAAATAATTTCTACTTGGTAATTATCTCTTCAGGTATAGATTCCTATTTCTCCTCAATGCAAAAAAAAAAATGACGCAGCCAGAAAAACTGTGTGAACTATAGAAAAACAATCGAAATTTTTTACTGAAGTATAATAAATAATTTTAACCAAATAAAAAGCGATAAAAAAGTGACAAACAAAAACGGAAAACTTTACAAAACAGCTCGAGATTTTTTAGAAATTCACAATGGAAATCAGAACTGCAATTCGCAAAGAAAATTAGAATTGCAAACTGAAGAAAACGTTCGATGCTCGTTAGCTTGAACTTCAAATTAGCGTCATTCAAATTGATTTTTACTCCCATCTATAAGATTCTTTCTTGAGATAAGTTTTTATTAATTTAGTCTTATGTGTTCACCCACTCGTAAGGATTCTATCTCAATTTATCTGCATTAAAAATTTGCATGTACATTAAATTCCATTTATTTATTCTCCATCTATTCTGATTCCATCTATTCTGATTCCATATATTCTGATTCCATCTATTCTGATTCCATCTATTCTGATTCCATCTATTCTGAATCCATCTATTCTGATTCAATCTATTCTGATTCAATCTATTCTGAATCCATCTATTCTGATTACATCTATTCTGATTCCATCTATTCTGATTACATCTATTCTGATTCCATCTATTCTGAATCCATCTATTATGATTCCATCTGTTCTGAATCCATCTATTCTGAATCCATCTATTCTGATTACATCTATTCTGATTACATCTATTCTGATTACATCTATTCTGATTACATCTATTCTGATTCCATCTATTCTGATTGCATCTATTCTGAATCCATCTATTCTGATTCCATCTGTTCTGAATCCATCTATTCTTATTACATCTATTCTGATTCCATCTATTCTGATTGCATCTATTCTGAATCCATCTATTCTGATTCCATCTATTCTGATTCCATCTATTCTGATTGCATCTATTCTGAATCCATCTATTCTGATTCCATCTGTTCTGAATCCGTCTATTCTGAATCCATCTATTCTGATTACATCTATTCTGATTCCATCTATTCTGATTCCATCTATTCTGATTCCATCTATTCTGATTCCATCTATTCTGATTCCATCTATTCTGATTCCATCTATTCTGATTAGATCTATTCTGATTCTATCGATGCTGATTCCATATTTTCTTATTCCAATTTTTCTGATTCCATATTTTCTTATTCTAATTATTTTCATTCTATTCATATTTAATTCGACAGCTCCATAATTTTATTAAATATCGACTATTTTATCTTCTAGAAAAGATTTAAACTATTCATGTGGAAATGTGTAGACCGATGTAACATGTGCGGTGTTTAATTAAACTCTGCTTCACGACGTAATTTATTTCACCCCAAATCAATCAATAAATACACAAGATACTCAAAGGAGAAACTTTATAACAATACAGTTCAAATATTAAATTTTTTATTCAAATCATATAGAAAAGTATTCAAATCTCAAAATTGGAATAGTACTCGTCGAAGTCCTTACATATTGAAAAGAAGCCTACGAGAAATATTCTAATAATATTGATAATAAGAAGCCTACGAGAAATATTCTAATATTTGTAGCGCTATAATCGTTTTATGAATACCATAGCTGGTAGTCGAGACAAGAGTATGAGTTTCGTCTTCGACTTCATTCTCAAGATGTACAACAAGGCGGTCGAGTGGTTGAAGTTCTTGAACAATATTACGAATATCATAAATAGTTAACTGTTTGTAATTCCGTCAACCAATAACATTTGGCTTTTCAAGCTAAACCACCAATTAATTATTGAAGAGAAATCTTCAGCTACGTGTACTTGAGCAAGTTTTGAAAATCCGGCGTCAGCGAACCAAAATTGGATCGGTTCTTACGGGTTCGATCCTTGCTTCAGATGTAAAGGTTCTAGTCAAAGTCAGCGAAATGACAGGAGTTTTTGGAACAGCAAGATTGAAGCAATGAATTG